ATTATATGCATGATTTTAAATATTTTATAACAGTGTAAAATTTAATTATTAGTAAATATATGTAATTACAATTTTAGCGAAAGTAAATAATATAAACAAACATTTACTATTGTTATATATTGATATTAATTTATACTTTTAATATTTTTGTAAAAATATTGAACAATTAAGTGATATACGGATTTTCTTGTAAATTTTGCTAATCTTGCATATTTTACTAATAAATAGTTTATTCTATTGTTTAATTTTTTTATCTAGTTGAAACAAAAAAAAACAAATATAAGCATAAAGTGTACGTGTTTGTAATCTTTTGTTATATGATGCTTAAAAATAAATATCACAACTAAACTAAATAATTTTTATTATAAAAGATAAACAAATATTTTTATTAAATTATTTTTGTCCATTTCCAATATGGAAAGTTAAAATTAATGCTTAATTAATTCTTATCTTATTTTTAATTATGAAATATTTTTTGAGGTTATGTTGTTTGTGTATATTTTTAAAGTCCATACATTTACTAGTACTTGGTCAATAATATGTTGGCAATTTGTTTACAAATTGTTAGCAAAATGTTCAGCAAACTGGCATGAATTGTGTTTGCATTAAACTTTTATCGACAAAGTTTGCTAGCATAAATATGAAAGCAAATTATTGGGAAAAATCGAGCAAGACTTTTTGATCAATTTTAGTTTTAGTCAATTTTAATTTTAGTTCTTGTTGTCATGTTGTCAGCAAGTTTTATATGGTTTTTGCCAACAAAATTTATTTTTATATTACTTCAGCAGATTTTGTTGTGTATCTTATCAATTTGTTGATATCATTGAATATAACAAAATTTGTATTAAACTGTTTGGAGAACGCTCTATTCAGCGCTATTATTATTTTACTTTTATCATTAATTAGAATAAAATAAGGATGAAATGATGTAATAGTGGACTCCTCAAACATAGCCCAAGCATATTTGCCAAAATTTATTTTTAATAGACTTGACAAATATAAATTTCTTTTAACACTTTAATTGTTAAACTTAGTATATATATTTAATAATTATGCATAATTTTTAATATCTTTACTGTAATATAAGATATAAATTTTTAATAATTTTTAATAAATTCTATGATGTACAATTAAAGAAAAAACAATTTGAGTAAAGCCTATGCAGCTTGAGTTTCACAAAACAGAATAGTATTTAAATTCAGCCAATTATAATCAAATTAATAAATATATTACAAGGTTTAAAAAGCTGACATTTTAATTGAAACCATTATGTAAGATTAGAAGAGAAATCATAAATTTTTAATTCATAAAAAATAGGACATTTTAGTTTATAAAAACAAAATTAGATAACATAAAATAGATTGATATATGATAAAAGAAAATGTATTTTTATTTTATTAAACTTTTTTTCAGTTTTCCAAAAAATGAAGATTTAAGATTAAAGTGGTATGAAGCTATAGGAAAAAAGGTATATCGTAATGCATGCATATGCAGCAAGCATTTTACAATAGAGGATTATAAAAACCATGAAGATCCTAATTTAATACGAAGATTATTAAAAGCATCTGCAGTTCCTAATAAAGTATGCACAAAATTGGAATTAGTTGAAAATTCTTCATTTGATAATGTTGACATTTTAGTTGGAAACAACGATGAGAGGTAGGAGTTTTTCTGCTATTAAGTATAATGATTGAATCAAATAATACTTAATGTTGTATAATTATATTATTAAGTATTCTATAAATAAAGTGAAAAGATTATTTTTCCAGTTTTCAATTTGTTAATTGTATCAGTTTGGAATATAAAAACGATATTATTAAAAATGAAATAAATGAAAACACATTGCAAATTGATGAATTAAGTACATCAACAAAAATCAATCCAGCAACTAAGAGAACTCTCAATGATAAAGCAGTAACATTTGTTAATGTTAATCAAATCAAAAAAAGGTAAATCTTTTTTTTGTGTAACAATATTTAATGTTTTATTTTGAAAACTTCTAAAAAATGTATACAATTATATACTACTATCAATATCAATATCAATATACTATTCGTTAATTCTTTTTTTAGGAAAATTAGAGATTGTTTACAACCAGTAGTAAGACAAGGATGTCAAAATGTTTCAGGAATCGTAAGAAAAGAAGATTTTAGAAATGTAAATACATGGTTAAGATTTCAAAAATATATTAATGTGATGAGAAAACAATACAAATCTTTATTACATAAGAATCGAAGGCTTCATCTTCAATTAAGCAATTTTAAAGACATGTTAAACACTTTAAAAACAAAATAATTATCTGATCTATTTCTACTATTTCTTACACATAAAAATAAGAGTAGTTTGTTATGTCTACGATTTATAAATTTCCATTTTTTTCGGCTGTTTAATCAGTGACTACAATTTCTTTTACCTTGATACTCTTAAATACTCTTTCGTTTGATTTTTTTTTCATTCTCTAATTTCATACAATATTATGACTACGTTCCAATACTGTCAGTATATATTGAAAATCTATTAGCGTTTTTGGACGGAATAGAGATCCTCTAGGTAGAGATCAGACGACGTCTGACTTCCGTTTTCACAACAACATGGCAGCGCCAATCGGCTCTCCGAGATTACTCCCCACTCCCGTGATCCCGGAAAGCCGATTGATTATGTTGTGAAAACGGAAGTCAGACGTAGTGTGATCTCTACCTAGAGGATCTCTAGGACGAAACGGGTTTGATCACTCCGAGAGCGATTAATAACATCGCATGCTCTCTCGTTTAATCAGAAATTTAAAATAGAGCATGTGACGTCATTAATTGCTCTCTGAGCGATCTGAGCGAAACCCGCTCCATCCTAGAGTCCTAGAATGTCCTAGATTATCAGAGAAGCGCGACCGGCTTATGACAGTATCACAAAAGCATTGGAAAAATATTAATAATGGCATCGAATTGTAAACTGATTATAAAATATATCCTTAAAGATAAGAAAAAAAGTTAAAAAAAAAATATTTTTATGTACTACAACATGAATAAATATTATATTTTAATAAAATGTTCTAACTTATCATAATAATTATCGATGTAAATTAAATTTATTCATTTGGCAGCCATTTATAATACCGATGAATCAATCTTATGACTGGCCAATTGCGAGTCCAATCAGAACTCGTAACACCGGTCGCGCTTCTCTGATACTCCATCCGAAAATGTACTCTCGTGAAGTTAGCCCGCAAGATGAAAATTTCTGAACGATCAATAGCTCAAAATAATGCTCCCGATTTGCTCCGTCCATATTGATAAATATAAAAAATTGCTCCCTTTTAGTTTTTTAAAAAAATTCAAAAAACGATTTTTTACGAAAAA